AGCTGGCGCTTGACTTTGAGAATTATCAAATTTGGCAATTTTCGTCACATCTCTGATTATGCTACAAGATGTGGACCTAAATTACAATTGAAAACGAGCGTGTTGGTTAATAGATACAAAACTTGAAAGTATAAAACAGAGAGGACGAGGACGAGAACAGGACATCTTTCGTTGTCCTGTTCTCGTCCTCGCCCTCTCTGTTTTATACTTTCAAGTTTTGGACCTAAATATTCTTTAACAAAGCTTTTAGGAAACATTCGCCGACTATTTATTGTTTATGATCGCGGTGCTGGTGAGGTAGACTCTTACCCAATAGGCGACGTGGATTTCGTTGACGTGCTGCGGTTCCGCGGATGCATCGCTGTGAAAAGCCGGAGAGCTTTCGAAGGAAAGAAGGTCCAAAACAGTCCGGTTTTCTTTTAAACGTTCTATAGCGAAGAATTTTTTTTCGGCTCCCTATTTTTGTGCTTTTGTGTTTCTTTTTACAGCTTTTACGACATGCGGTAGATGAAATTCGATTTCAAAATCGTTTTATGGTCCCTTTAAGTGAATATAACATGCAGGTACATATAAAAGTATGAAATGCAAATTTTACCGTTAATAAATTTTATTAAGAATTTCGATTGAAGACAGATTAAAAGAGAAGTAAATGCCAGGTTTCATCACTGCACGCTGTACACCGAACGGGAACTTGATGGAATTCCATGCCGAGGTCTGGACACAGGGACTGGAGAGAGACAGAAGTGTGGGCCTGAATTCAGCTGAAGGGTTTCCGAGGTCACATCTCTACCGGTTCCTACTAGGGCACCTCATACTACTATCACTTGAAATATTCTTTTTGCGTTTCATCTTCAGTCACTGTCAGTTTCCTCTTACACATGTCAATAATGATTATCAAAATAAAATATAGTTTCATTATTCATCGCCATTTAATTAACTAATCAATTAATCGGTTTAGATGACCTCCTAAAAATCTGAAAAAGGGCCGCGGAATATTTTTTTCTTTGCTTTTCCATAATGGAACTTCGCCGATAAAACTCTAAGTTAGGGCACTTCCTTTTAGAGCGAAAATTGTTTTTTGTTATTTTGTATACAATAAACATGATAATTCTACGAGACAACAGCACTGTCTTCTAGAACAAACAGATGCGCAGGTAAGACACCCGGGCGAGCTTGCTAAATCAGCGTCTTAGCTGAGACTGCGTGAAGAAAAGCACTGCAG